GGGACGGGGGACGGGTGACTCCTTCCTTTCTCTCACAGGCAAGGAAGGCGCAACTAACCCTCCACCCTGGAGCTCAGCCCACGGCCCACATGCTACAGGACAGGAGGCCGCAAAGGTCACTGCGGGCAGCGTCCTCCACTCCTGGCTGGGGGTACATGGCCTCTACAACTGCCCACCTCTTGTTCAGATGCCCCCAGGAGCGAGTCTGCTGGTCTGGGCTGTTCCCTGGGCCAGGTCCTCAGGCCTAGTCCTGAGCCGCCCTAACAGGGCAAGAGGCTTCCAGAGCCAACCTGGCCTTTGAACAACAGGAAGGCAAGAGGGAGAAGTGCCTTCTGGACAGAGGCGGCCTAGAAGGCCTGGAGGCAGGAAGGGCACGGAGCAGCCGGCTCTGACAGCATCCACATACACCACCTGCAGAGCACCTGGAACAGCCTGCTGGTCCCACACAGCCATGGTGAAGATCTCGGGCGGGCGCCAAAATTCTGCATTTCTAGCAAACTCCCCGACGAAGCTCACACCCTGAGCAGCAAGGTCTGTCCAGTGCATTAAATAGCCACCTGTGGCTAGTGACTAAGTGAAATCACGAGCACAGGAGATTAAACATTCAGCTCAATGACAACAGCCACACTTTCAGTGGCTAGTGACCAGCAGCTACCACGCTGGACAACACAGATCGGTCAGCTGCAGCCAAGGGCTTCAGGGGCATGAACATGGTGACCTTGGAGGGCCTCCCTCTGGGTCCTGCCTCTCCTGGGCTCTCCTTTCTGTTCAGGTGCTTTGGCAGCTGACTCCTGAAGTGCACAGAGCAGGCGGAGGTCCCTAAGGGAAGGGCCCAAGACAAGAGCCAGAAGTATAACCAAGCAGAGCCTGCAACCACAGGCCACAGGGGAGACAGAGTTTGGAATTCAAGTCCTGCCAAGTTAGGGGGCTGGGGAGAGCCCTGGCTTCCCATGAAACCCAGAAAGGCCCAACTTAGGAGGACCTGTCCAGGACTGGACTACAGGACGTGGAATCCAGTTGCAATAAGGGCAGAACAGAAATAGACCTGTCCTATCAATGCCTAATACCAAGTCTCCCCAAATCTGTGATTCATGATAAACGAACCCTAAATGGAACTGAGCTCTCTGCACAGGAAGATACAAAATTTAAGATCTCTACCCTGGCCAGTTTGGCTCAGCGGTTAGTGTATCAGGCTGCAGACTGAAGGATCCCAGGTTCGATTCTGGCCAAGGGCACGTACCTCAGTTGCAGGCCGATCCCTAGCCCTGGTTGGGGCGCATGCGGGAGGCAAGNGCCAAGGGCACGTACCTCAGTTGCAGGCCGATCCCTAGCCCTGGTTGGGGAGCATGCGGGAGGCAAGCAATTAATGTGTGTCTCTCACATTGATGTCTCTCTCTCTCTCTCTCTCTCTGCCCTCCCTCCCTCTCTCTGAAAAGCAATGGAAAAAATATCCTTGGGTGAAGATTAAAAAAAAAAATTAAAATCAGCCAGAGCACACATTGCATACAATAAAAATCATGATTAACGTATCAGAAACAACGGAGGCTAGAGGCCCTGGCCAGGTAGCTCCACTGGTCAGGGCATCCTCCAGACACCCCGAGATTGTAGGTTTGATCTCTGGTCAGGACACATACAAGAATTAACCAATGAATGCATAAGTAAGTGGAACAACAAATGATGTTTCTCTCTCTCCCTCTCTCAAATGAATTAAGGGAGAAAGAAACAGAGGCCCGGCCGGGCGTGGCTCAGCGGTTGAGCGTCACCTAGGATTCAGGTGATCAGGGTTCAATTCCCCGGTCAGGGCACATGCCCAGGTTGCGGGCTCAATCCCCAGTCGGGGCCGTGCAGGTGGCAGTCGATCAATGACTCTATCATTGATGTTTCTATCTCTCCCTCTTCCTCTCCTTCCCTCTCTCTGAAATCAATAAAGATATATTTAAAAAAAAAAAGAAAATGAAACAGAGGCCAGAAGACAGTAGAATGGTAACTTTGGAGCTAAAAGAAAAATAACTGCCTGGCTTAGTTCCCTCAGAATCACCTGTAAGGAGCTCACGAGATCCCACCTTCCACACAAGATGCTCAGGCTCAGAGCTGTGCCTGGCAAGGTCTAGGACAGGCCACAGGCAGGCGGACCGTCAGCAATCATCCAGCAGAGCACATCCACACACATGGTGCGCTGCCACAATGCAGCAGCCAGCATATGACACCCAAGGTGGCAACGACCTCTGGGGGGGGCACAAGGGTGCTGAGGCCTCTGAGAGCAAGCAGTGAGTTTATCCCCATTGCTCAAGCATGAACAGAGAACACGTGCACTACGGAAAGGTCGCCAGGGTATGTTCTGTGGAAAAATCAAGGGCCATGACAGTGTCTATCGATGTGACTTGTGCATAAAACTGTAAAAATAATTTTAAATAGAAACGCATCAGGACTTTTTCCTCTGGGGTCAAAAGTACCAGTACTTGGGAGATGTAAATGGGGAAGGGTGGAAAAGAGGGGGGCTCACCCGCTGGGTCTCTGGGGCAGCTGACTTTCGGGTGAGCCTGCCCTCATACTGACATCCGGGTCAGGCGGTGCCCCAAAAAGGGCCGGTCCAAGCACTTCACACATCTCCTGAACTAGACGTCTGAGAACCTTCACACGTGGATAAAGTGCTGCACCCATGTGGCAGCTCCCTCATTTGAAACAAGCCCAGACCCGGGTGGGGGCATGAGGGCCTTCAGCCTCTCCGGCTTCTCCTGTCCGTGCAGCGTGGGAAGTGCCCATGGAACCAAATGCCGGAGGGAGGCAGAAGGAAAGTGGCTTCAGCACCAGCAGCCCAAAACCTGGATCACAGAGGAGCCGAGCACGTTCTCCCTGGGCCCCTGCAGCTCACGGAAGCTGCTTCTTCCTCTTGGTAGTTGGAGGTGGCCGCAGCTCCCCAGGCCCGTGGGCAAACGGGCAGCGGTCAGTGGGCAGAGCGCAGCCATCAGGGTGGTGGGTGAAGAACCAGCAGAGGCGGGTTTTGAAAGCCTTAGAGAACAGCCTGCGCTTGGCTTCTAGTTGCTTCTCCTTCTGCAGCTGTTCTTCCCTCCAGTCGCGAATGTTCACTCTCCCATTCAGAACTGTGATTCGAACATACACACAGCGGGAAGTTAACCTGCAAGTCCCTTAATTCACCAGATCTGTGGGAGGCAGCGCCCTGAGCCTAGAGCCCCCCCCAAGCCCGGCAGCCAGCACCCACGGGATGAGGGCTGAGATCTCAAGCCGTGAGAGGAGAGGACGAATGGGGAGGTCGGTGCCGGGGAAGGGCTTGTGAGAAACCAGGCTGAGGACCCAGGGTGACAGCCGTAAGCTAGCCCGAGTTCAAGTGGACAGTCGAACACAGTCTGTGCAGTGGCACCACTCCTCAAGAACCAATCTCCGTGCCAAAGTGAGAAAACAAGCACGGCAGGTAGAGGTCCTCTCCAGGCAGGCAACAAGGAGGGCAGACTGCGGGGCCCCACAGCCAGAGCTGCCCGAAGGTAAGCAAGAGTGAGCATCACCGCCCTGACAGTGGGGGTGGGGCTGCAGATGGCAGCAGGAGTGGGAGGGACCTGTGCCTTCCAGGGGACCTCAGAGCTGGGCAGCTGGAGGACCTCAGGGGGCGAGGGAGAGGCAGGGAGCTGTGGCCCTGGCAACTGGCTGGGCTCCCTTGAGCTACCTCCTGAGTGGGTTGCCCTGCACAGCTGAGACTCCCCCATGAGCCTGCACTTGGCCGTTTCCTCCCGAGTGCTGACAACTCTGCATGAAATGAGGCCAAAGCAACTAAACCTATCCCGATTTTCCCTGGAAGCTGTAAACCACCGGGAGACAGAGAGGCCAGGGAAATGAAGGGGGCTTATTGAGTCAGCCTGACTCTCCCACTTCTAAGAGCAGACGTGCGAATTAAAGCTTGACTTCGCTCTTGGACCGTCTCCTGTTGTGGCAAAAGGAGTGTCTCTGCAGACTGACATTAAACACTTTCCCTTGGATCCACAGGAAGGAGCCGCAGAGGCGCACTGCAGGGCCACAGAGGGGGATTCAGACTCCCAGGGCGAAGGGGGACCTCCTATGGCTCGTGCTGTTCTTCCAGGACACTGACCTCAGCTTTCCTCCCCTGAAAGCTCGGATCAAGGAAACATCAGTGTCCATGGCCGTGCTCACAGCAGCACCTCCTGGCGCAGCACAAAATGACATGCACCCTGTGGGAGACCAGACGCCCTACTGTGTGTGGAAGGCAAGACTCCCAGGGTGTGCACCTCAAAACAGTGAGGAGCCTGATGGCTTGGACAGGCTCACAAGAAATGTGGAGGTGGTCAGAGGCCAGAGCTGGGCATGGACCTGCCCTCCAGAATCAGCCGAGAGAACACCTACCTCAGTTCTGGAGAGATGCCTGCAGGGTCAGGGAAAGGGGCCCCGCTATGATTTCTAAGGCCTAAGGAGAGGTCACTGACAGTTGGGGGCCCTGGAGATGGCAGAGGCGGGGGCCCTGAGACTGGTCGGATGCCAGCATGCTGCCCCACACCCCAAGAACAGGCCCTGACACTTCTGAACATTTCCTCCCTCACAAGCATGCTCCCCGGTCCTGAACAACACAGGAAACTTACCATGCAGTCCCCTTCACCGTTTGACCGCAGACACCACCCTTAACCTCAGTGTTCTGAGGAGCTGGCTGAAGACCCTTCCAGAAAATCACTATGGACAATTTCCCAGGACAGTGCCGTGTGCTCAGGAGCACTTGTTCTGGTTCCTCTTGACCTGGGTTGCCAGCCCCTCCCCTCCTCTCTCAGGAGGCCTCAGGCAAGTGCCTCATGTCTCTGAGTTGCATGGGCACCTTCAAGGCCATGAGCGCAGCAACAGACCACACATGCCAACCATGCAGTGCTGGCTCCTGCGCATCCCACCATGGGGGCCCCGGGACAGAGCGGGTGCCCCCCTCACGCCTACTGTAGCCCTCCGTGTGGCAGTCCAGGGGTACCTGGCGCTGGAGCCGCTTCTCCTCACTCTTGTCCACGTGACTGGAGAGGAGCCACAGTGGTTTAGAAGCAGCCCTCACACAGATAAGCCTGCTTAGCATAGCTTTCGCATGACAAGGCCAACTGCTTGCTCAGAGCCCCACCCCCAGGCCTCCTACTCAGCAGCATTTCCAAAAATAAATGTCCTACCCCCGCCCCCCAATAAACTGCACTTAGCAGCAATCAGACACATGCATGTTTAAAATGGAAAAAAGATACTAGGTCATGAGACCAAACAGAGAAGTGTGCTGGGAAAAACAAGAGCAGGCCCTTGGCTGGATGGGCCTCCCAGACCACGACTTGCGCAATGCCCAGCAGATCCAGCAGCCCTGCCAGCTCCAAGGAGGCGGGACTTCCAGTTCAGCAGGCTGCCCTCCTCCAAGCCTTTCCACGGCCCTGGGCTACCCTCCTGCAACCACCCCAAACATGGAGACCCGGGTTCCCTTGACAAGGCCTGCCACCTCAGTAACAGCAGCATGTATCCTACAGAAACCAAGTTAAATGAAACCAAGTTCAGCGCCACAGGGTAACCAGGCCACCCAAAGGCACTGCAGGCACACCCAGCTCAGTACACACACGGGGGGGGCGGGGGGGGGCAGTGTAGGTATGCACAACTGAGGCTGCAGGCCCGGATCTGGCCCACCTGCAGGAAGCTATGGTCTAGCTGGGGTGGGGATGTGACAAGTACGGCAGGAGAACCCCTGGGACCTGGGGGCCCAGAGGAGGGAGGCCCAGTGGGGCACATGGAAAGCTGGGTAGGACAGGTGGCTTTGTGGAGACACAGGGGGGCTATGAGCAGCCACAGAGCTTTTGTGGCAGGCCACAGGCCACACATGAGGAGCTGAGGGGTTACGTCTGGCAGAAGTGGGCGAGGGAGGCCGGTATTCACCTGTTTGGGAACCAGGTAGGTACTGAAGGTTTGATCTGCTCACCTTGGAACACCTGGTGGTTGTTTCTCAGCAGCGTCTGCAGACCACCACACTCCCGCTTCAGCCTCTGCAGGGTCTCCCTGTCCAGCTTGCCTGCCACTTCTGCCAGGGAGAGGCTCTCTGTTGGAAACAGGGTTTCCCCCAAATGGCAAGAAAGCTATTACACACCTGTTAACTGGGCACAAACCAGTCTAGTTCCATGAACTCAATCCCTTACATACATGAGAAGAGACCAGACACTTAAGATTTAACGTACTTTAGGCTACACCTTGGCTGAACTGCATGGCAGAGCCACCCCTTGATGCTCCAAGTAAGCTGCCCACCGGGCCCTGTACTGTCTCACCCATGTGGCCCCATCCTGAGTTGAGCCCAGGACAACTGAGCCTCCCAGACACAAAGGGTCAGCAGCTACACTTGGAGTTGCTGCTATAACTGACCCTCCAAGTCCACCTCTCAACTGTCTCAAACCCATTCTGACGAAGCAGGGTCTCAGGGAAAAAATTGAACACTGGCCCGAAAAGCCCTCCCCACCCTCCCAGGCTCTGCCCCCACGCGCTCTATGTGCTGACTCTCACGTGCAACCTGGCGGCTGCCATGTGGCTCAGCTCTGCTACCTTACTCCTTTGTTGTGTCTGGACTCAACTGAAGCAGGGACCAGCTCCCACCTGTGTCCCCTCAGCCATGAGCTGCAGAGGGGAGACCCCAGGCCTCAATCAGGTCCTACGGACAGACCCACTTAGGCAGGACTCGGAAACACGGAGGGTTCTATACCTGGGGCAGGCTGGGAGGCGGTCACTAATCCCAGTGACCAAGGAGAGAGAGACCACCTGTGGGTGGGAGCTGGAGGCTGAGAGGCCAAGGACATACCTCCCCCAGCCGATGGGGCAGCTGAAGCCTCAGACCAGCCCTGGACTGATGGAAACAAACCTTGGGGAGGACAGTGCCTGGCTCCCAGATAACTCCTATGTCGGGGGGTGGGGGTGGGGCCGAGAAATGATGATTAGAGCCCCAGCTATCCACCCGAGCCCGGGAAAGAGCCGTCTTTGCTTGCTAGGAGGGTATTCCATCCCAGGCACAGGCTGGCACACCCAAAGGACCTGGCAGCAGGAAGGGCTCTCCTGGGAGTGAAGGTCAAACTCCACGTTTTCAGATGCACCCGGAGGTCTGGGACCCTGGGTCCCACTGGGCCCCACTAGGGAGCTCCCACACAGCTTGCCTTCCTCTACTTTGGCTCCGCCTCAGGGGGGTACACCTAGGAGGTGGGGTGCCAACCCACAGAATACCCATGACACCTTGGGCTGTCTGCAGTTACGCAGGTGGCCAGCCACCTGAGCCAGGCTGCGCTGGAGAGGCTGCCGTGTCCTGCCCATGCACACTAAGAGGGTCGGGGCGTTCCTGGAGAGGGGACATGCTCAATGGTGCTACGTCACAAGGACACGAGTCAGGATGGGATGAAATGAAGACAAACGTAAGCACTACACTCACTGAGGAAGACCAGGCTGGGGCAGAGGAAGACCAGGCTGGGGGCAGAAGAATCCGCTGCTCCCTCCTCCCGGGCCTGTCCCACCCACAGGGCCAGCCAGGTGGTTCTGACAGGCTGACGGAAAGAGGGAGCCTCGATATCCCTGTGACCCCCAAACCTCAGAGGCAGGGCTCTGGCTGGGCCAGGACAGACAGCATCACAGTGCCCCCTGGCGGCTGGCCGAGATCCCTGCAGCGCGGAGGAGCAGGAGGGAAACGGCTCCTTCCCCACAGCCCTGGGACCTCCAACCAGGTGAACAGTCTCCTCCTTGGACCCCGCACTCTTGGGTACCACTGGTTTCCGTACAGCCCCCCTTCTACGAGAACAGTCATGTAGAATGTCCTCCCTCTCCTCATGTCTGTTTGGGGACCTTCAGAGAAATTGTGAAACCTCACCACATACTCCAGGGGACAGGGCATTGTTCTGCACCCAGTAACCTGCCTTCTGCTTGGACAATTCTGCAGACTGAGTGTGAATAGCTGCAGACCCTGGACCTGAACGTCTGTAAAGGTTCACTGAGGGCCCGAGCGTTACCACCTACCCTCAGACTCCTCCTGGAGGCGGCCCAAGTCCCATTTGTCAACAAGAACTTGAGGAAATATAAGCAGGAGCGTGTAAGCAGCCTACTCACTGTCTGACATATACTTAACTAAAACGATCACACACGAGATGGAGTCGCTGCCTGAACCTGAACCCTAGAAGTGCCCGGGGGGCAGTGCTGACCTTACCTCCTCGATCCCAGGTCTTCAGACTCCCGCTGTGAGAACTTCTTGGGCTTAACTGCTTCCCACCCAACAACAACTCTGCCACTTGCAGAACCACTTGGTCAACGAACTCCTGAGGGAGGGCCGCACAGTTCCTCACACGCTCAGCTTTGTCTCTCGGGTGGAACCCAGGCAGCCAGCGTCCTTCAGCCCCAGCGTCCGGGGCTCTGTGGCTGTCGCGGTGCTGACTGGGGCAGTGATCCA